AACCCTGGAAGCGGTTGGCAGAACTTTACATTTACAAAATTAGTGGAAAAGTTCTTGCATAAATACTGTTCAACTGAACAACTATTCCGCCAACAGGCAATTTTACTGTGTAGGTGAAAACATAGTGCCTCTGTATACTTTAATTTATTTTAAAACTGACGCAAATCCACAGTTTTGCCTCATAATCTACCACTTAAGTATAGTTTGAGACAATGCATATTTTGTGTGTTATCCAAATAGTTATATAATAATGTATATATATATATTTGTAGATGAACATGTGAGAGCATGCATGTGTGTGAATGAGCGAGAGAAGCAGGCGGCATATGTTCACTGAGAAATCTCCCTGTCAGGTTATGAAGGCTTTGCCAGCTCACCAGCGGGAATCTGTTCTCACCACTCTCAATCTCATTAGACATTCACATATTCACTTATGGTGATTCTGCTCATTGAGTGTGTGCGTGTGTGTCTCTAAAGGAAACCACACTGTAAAATCTTAATTTTGCGATGTTTCGTACCTGTTCTCAAAGGACCTCTTCATTCCTCCTGGAAATCCCGCTATGAAGAACATTTGAAGAACGTCTTCTGTTCAGCTGCACTGTTTGTTCTTTAAGGGCCGCTAGCTGAGCTTGTTGCATCACGCTTTCTACAATTTTCCAATTCCAAATGCGCCGTGACTCATACATTAGAGATTTTAAATGTGATTACTTTTGAAATTGTGTTTAATGTCGTAAAATAAAGCTAATAAACCAAAGACATTCTCAAAGAGTAAAAAAACTCCTTGTTTATGAGCTATAAGCTAATGTCTATTAAAGGCAGAGTAAGTGATTTTTCAAAAACGCTTTAAAAACTGATTCGGGCCGAATCGCAAAACAAACTTGTAGCCAATCAGCAATAAGGGGCGTGTCTACTCATGATGTGGAGGAGAGCGCGTTCAGTGCATGGGACGGACATTAGCCGAGCCGAGCGCCATTGGCCTCTGACCATCATGGCCTCCTAACCATCCCCATATCTGCTGATTGGCTTCATCACTCTGTCTCCTCTCCACCAATAAGCTGGTGTGTGGTGGGCGTTCTGGCGCAATATGGCTGCCGTCGCATCATCCAGGTGGATGCTGCACACTGGTGGTGGTTGAGGAGATTCCCCCTTCTATGTAAAGCGCTTTGAGTGCCCAGAAAAGCGCTATATAAATGTAAGGAATTATTATTAATTATTATAATTATAATGGCTGCTGAATATTCAGCTTTGTCATCACAGGAATAAATTACATTTTAAAATACATTAAAATAGAAAACAACTGTTTTAAACTGTAAAAATATTTTAAAAATAATACTGTTTTTACATTTTAATCCAAAAAAATGTAGCTTTGTTGAACCTAAGAGTCTTCTTTCAAAAACATTAAAAAATCTTACCAACCACAAAATTGAACATTAGTGTACTTTAAAAGCAAATGGGTTTACTATTAAAAAAACATACTGTCTGTCAATAGTGTTGCATTTTGAAATCTCAGAATCAGCAGTGGCTGTTTGTTGACCCTTTATCAAGATTAGTGTTTGTTTGTTTAGGTGGTGGCTCTTGAATGAGTGTAAGTACAGGAAACAGCATTTGTGTGCCTGAACAAGCTTTTAAACTGCAACAGTCACAGAGAGTAAAGACCTGCTGCTGACCCTGCCTGCGATTAGCCCACTGCAGCACTACAGCAACTCAGAGCTCAAGCACCATCAAGCAGAGAGAGATGGTCACAAACACTCTGAGCAAATCCAGCATGCTCTGAATCACAAAGAAGGCACTCTAGAATGTGGACAGTAAGCCATGATGGGCAGTCAGTCTCTGGGGTGAAGGGCCTCTAATGCACTCGGGCCGTTTCCATGTTGTGCCCTTGAAAATGTGCTGAAAGTATGATTTGTGCATGGCAACTCCATTCAAAGAGGCTTTTGCTCACTGGTCCTGTGCAACTTGGTCTAGTGTGTGCTTTAAATCTATGGCCTTACATCTACTGTCAAGACTGTTTATCAGTGATCAGCCTCTTTCTGACTTCTCATTTTAATATTTTCATCTTTCTCCATTAAAAATGCAACTTTGAAAGCATTTACAGTCTGAAATGCCAAGAAGTGATCATTCACAGGTAGATGATCTTGCTTCATGGCTTCAGTCATCATTCTTCTGTCCATTAAAATCTATGTTCCTGAAATCACTTTGCCTGAGAGAGAGATTTCCCTAACCTAGTTAGACTAGCTGCCAGACAGTGAGTCGGAATGTACTGGAGACAAGTGATGGTCTGATCAACCATACACCATTTAAAAAAGCCATCTGCTGTACAGTCTGTGTGTCTGTATGTGTTTTCCTCATGTGTTTTTTTCCATTATTACAACTGCTCTATTTTTTACCCACACACAGACAACACAGTTCATTTGATTTGGGTGCGTGACTGAATTTTGTTGCTGTTTGTGTTTTTCATTATTATTATTATTATTTTAAAGGGACCTGCACCCCTAGCCCCCCCCCCATTC